CGAAAGAGACTTTTTTTACATTAAACGACTCTTTCAACTACACTATAAGGATATATATATATATATATATATATATATATATATATATATATATATATATATATATATATATATATATATATATATAAATATATATATATATATATATATATATATATATTTATATATATATTTATATATATATATATATATATATATATTAGGGTGGTGCTTAAAACAATTTTTTTGAGAAAAACCTGCTGGTACCCCCTAAATGTGTTTTATCTAATACAAAAACACTAGGTTTAAAATTTTTTTGAACAAAAAATATTTTTAGGGGTAGCTCAAGGCCCTCAAAAATTTGACGGGTCCCTAATATTTTGAAAAAAAAACTTTTTTTAAAGTATATCAACCTGGTACTCAAAATAAGCAAAATTATATAAAAAATTTAAAAATGAAAATAATTTTTTATAAAAATAATTTTTTCAGCTATAAATGCATAAAAACTATTGTTTTTAAGCTGAAAATGAAAAAAGTCAATATTTTTTAGGTTTTTTGAAAAAAATTTTTTTAAGCATGTTTATGTAAAATGATTATTATTTTTGAAGTTTTTATATAATATCGCTTCTTTTGAGTACCAGGTTGACATACTTTAGAAAAAGTTTTTTTTTCAAAATATTAGGGACCCGTCAAATTTTTGAGGGCCTTGAGCTACCCCTAAAAGTAATTTTTGTTCAAAAAAATTTTAAACCTAGTGTTTTTGTATTAGATAAAACACATTTAGGGGGTACCAGCAGGTTTTTCTCAAAAAAGTTGTTTTAAGCACCACCCTAATATATATATATATATATATATATATATATATATATATATATATATATATATATATATATATATATATATATATATATATATATATATATATATATATATATATATATATATATATATATATATATTTATATATTTATATATATATTTATATATATATATTTATATATATATATATATATATATATATATATATATATATATGTATATATATATATATATATATATATATATATATATATATATATATATATATATATATATATATATATATATATATATATATATATATATAAATTAGTAGAAAATCACTTAACAAAATTTTTTTTTTTATTTTACACTGTGTTTCATCAAGAAAGACTCATCAAATTTTTTTATTTAGTTACTCTTTTAAAACTTCTCATGAAAAAATCTGATAATATTAATACGCTAATTTAATATTATTAGTCGAATTAAGTCATTGTCTAGGCTTTTCTATTTTAAAGTAGTTTCTAGGCTTTTCTATACGGGGTTCTTTTTTTTAATTTTATTTACTAACAACGCGTATTACGGGTTGCTTGCTGCTAGTTTTAATATGGATAGCAAACTCCAAGTTATAATTTTTTTTAATCAAATATAAAAATTTAACATGTTTAATTTTTATATTTGATAGAGTAACTAAATAAAAAAACATCAAAATATTCACCTTTTTTTTTTACACAAAATTTATGGGCTTTATTTCGTCCGTCTAAACTGACTTAGACGGGCACGAGCCATAGCCCGCCTTTCCTGCCGAGGCCTATATATATATAATATATATATATATATATATATATGTATATATATATATATATATATATATATATATATATATATATATATATATATATATATATATATATATATATATATATATATATATATATATATATATAGCCCTGGCAAAAAATAAGACTTTTTTAAGCCCCAGATTTGGCTAAACTACAAGATTTAGCAAAGGTTGATAGCTGGGGTTATAAAAAAATTTATAATACTTTATATATTATAATTTTATGCTTACATTTTCTATTTGTTAAATACTGGCATATATTTATATATTTTCAAACCCTACTTCAAATGTAACACTACTTTAAATTAAACTCTACTTCAAATTTACTTCCAACAAGATTGCAAGCAACCACTATTAAGTTATGAGTTACTTTAAAATAGAGAATAAGTAAAAATACTAGGAAATTGTTAACTGAAAACTTATAAAAATTATAGGTCCCATATAAAAGAAAAAAGTTGAGGGCAGTACTACCAGGAATGTGGCGGGGATCGAACTTGGTACTTCTGGCTTATGATGCAAGCGTTCTACCACTACACCACAACTGCATTACATTTACAATGTACTTTTAGACTTTGTCTGAGAGTATGAGGATTGTTATTCATCAATATAGGAATACCAACATTGTGATTTTTTTTGCAGTAAATACATGAATTTTGTTGGCTAACAAAAATTGCGAATTTCAAGTCTAGAATTTAAATCCAAAGCCACAGCAAGCCTTATCAACTATGTCAAATATATCAACTATGGTCGTTGGCAGTTTTTTTTCCCACCTCAGAATTTTAAATCATTTTATTTGCTTCTTCAGGTAAATTAAAAATGACAAAACAAATGTTTCGTTAAAATTCTTAATGTATTAATGAATTTTTTTATTCAATTTTTGAAAAAACTATTAAAAAAATAGCTAAACATACATATTTCTAAATAGTGAAATAAAAATAGAATAAAGAACGTTTAGTTTAAATTCTAAATTAACATTTAACAGTTTAACATTTAAATTCAATCTAATAATACAAAAAAAAAAAAAAAAAGTAAAGTTAAATTAATGTGATGCTTTATTAAAATAATTTTAAAAAATTCAGGAAAACTTTTGTTTGTATTTCACATGCTTAGGCAAACATCGAGGTTTAAAAAAAAAGTCATCAAACTCAGCATGTGTTTTTCTTTCATGCTAAACGTTTGCACACTTGGCAATTTATTAAATATTGGTTTAAATTTTAGTACTGACTAGTTGCCCACCTAAATCAGTTTTAGTTTAGTAATTTTAAGCTGACTATATTTTTCCTGATTTTTAAAGCTTTATATATTTATATATAAAGAGTGGTATACTTTTGGTAAGTAGCACACTGTGTGAATAAAAGTAAAAGTTAATGTCAGTTGCTCACTAATGTTTTGAGTCATCTGTCATTATTATTTTTTTTTTTAAATTTTGCATTTAGCAAAGTTCTTGTACATTTAAGTCATTTTTGCATATAGTGCTAAGGGTAAACTAGAAAATGATTTGCAAACCATGATAATTATTGTCAACTTTTGATAAAATTCCCTCTTCTTCCCTCTTCTAATTTCAGAAAGTGTTTTGTTATTTTAAATCTTTATAAAAATAAAGAAGTTAACAAAAATACTATAATAATAATAATAAACAAAAATAATGATTTTAAGGCAATAAAACAGTAAATGAAATTCAATAATGGTATTATCTATATCATCTATTAATTGATTTAATTAATCGATATAAAGATCTTGGCTTTATATTTCTACTATTATCTTTTTTAAATTAATTTAAGTAAATTTTAATGAATGATTGATAAACTAGTTTTTTGTATGCTTTATATTATTAAACAGTATTTAATAATGATTTAAAAATATAAAAAGTGTTGAAGTTATAACTGTGTATAGTAAAATATATAAAATAAAAAAATATATGCAGCCCTTGGAATAAGGAATAATGAGGTCAGCAAAAATTACTGACCTTGTTTTATGTTTCATGGTTTTACAATGAAATATAAAACAAGGTTGGTAATTTTTTGCCATCTTTAAACACTTTTAGGTTGGCAGTGTGGTTGGCATTGCCAAAAGCTGACTCTAATTCCAAGGGCTGTATATACATAATAAATATTTGAGTTTAGTAAATAATGAAATCTCTAATTAAATTTTTTTTAAAGTATATTGAAGTAAATGAAAATATGAAAAAATTATGCTGAAAAAACTTAAAGTTTAAGAACAACAAAACAAATTTACAAAATTTGAATTAATTTTTCTTTTTAAGTATATTATAACTTAAAAAGTCATTAACTTTTAAATAAACTGTTTAAAGTGAGAGAGAAACAAAGCAATTTTTTAAGATCCGAAATCATTTCTTCCTTCAAAGTAAATTTTAACTAACAGTATTTTGCTTTCATTATTAAATGTTAATCATTAACCTTTTTGAATATTACTTACAAAACAAATACTATTTTAAATTTTACTTTAATTATTTTTTTATATAGTGCAATGATTTAACTTAATACATTTGAAAAAGTTGTCATTTCTTTACACTAATCAAAAAGTTGGCCATTGACGTAAAATGTTGATCCTGCAGTTTTTTAGGTTAAGAACATAACTGTTGTTTTAAAATTAAACTTAGCGCTCCAAATCAGGAGGTTAGCTAAAAGTTGTTGACCTGTTTCAAACCTTTTATTTTTATTTTTTTTGAATTTAATTGGAAAGTTTTTTTTACTTTTATTTCAATTATTTTATTTAGAATTGAAACAAAATTTAGAATTTAATGTTTTTTTTTTGCTGTTGTATTTTTAAATTAATTTGTTCACAATTAAAAAATTTTAAGATTTGCAAAATATTGCAGTCCTCTGATATTTAGGCATTACCCAATACCGACTCAAATTGTAATGGCTAAATAGCAGCCATTACTTAATTAAAAGTAAAAAAATGTTTTTATACAATTTTTTAGAGATTGTTAAAAATAAAATATGATTTTTAAAGATATAGTTAATCATTTTTAGTTAGTTAGTTTATACTGTCTAGTCTTTAAATTTATCATAGGATCGAAATTACCACAATTTATTATGGTGTCTATAGATATATTCCAATTAATAAATGTACTTTTGTATATCAAATATACTCTCATGTTAATAAAGACACAGAAAAATTTTTTTGTGATTTTTATTAGCCCACGACACAACTGATGTGTCTAAACGAATATGCTTCAGTGTATGATATAGTATTGTTATTAATAAAAACAATGTTAATAAAAGATCAAAGGGGAATTGTAATTGTGTATATGCATACATACATACATACATACATACATACATACATACATACATACATACATACATGCATACATACATATATGTTGGTTATAAATATATTAATAATGGTTGTTTAGGTTCCTTTATATACAGTTGAGGAGCAAGTTGAACGAAGAGATAGAATCCATTTTGTAAAATTTGAAACAAAATATATAGAAGATTCTTTAGATTTTATACAGAAAAATCTAATGCGTTCTGGTAATAGGAACATTAGTATCAAAGCTACTGGTAAGAATTTTATTGTTTAAAATATTTTTTAAAATGTTTTTACCATATATTGCAATGAGCAACATTTCGTTTGCATAAGAACATTCAAAAGATATTTAAAAAACCTCTTTTTTGAATCAAACTTAAGTATGTTCATGCTTTAGTCAAATCAGAATGTTTTGTAAAAAAATTTGGTAATTTTAGCCTGGAAATAAAAATACCTCTACAAGCTCACCTCTTCCTAAACGTGAAAACAATGAATTAATAAATTATTTAGTTTTACTATCTTATACTAAATTTATCTACAGTTTTTCAATATCATCTAATTATATTTTATTGTTCTAAAGTTATGACTAAAGAATTGATTTAAATATCTTCGAAAGATGTGCACAACAGACAAGTTGAAGCAATATATAATCATTCTAATAAAAAAGCATATAAGAAAAAATGAAAGGCAGCATAAAAAATTAAACCTAATTTTTTATTGGCTCTTTTATAAGAATTCAACACAGAACCTAATTCTTTGTGTTCAAAGAAATAGAAAAGGACTAAATATATTACATAATGTTTAAAATGTCACATTACATCATCTTAAGGTATAATATATTTAGATGTCTTTCTTCAATAATTTAAAATGAAAGTTTATATTTGTAGATACAGAGTTTCCTGAGCAGCTACTGCTTGAACTATAGCTGCCTGGCCAGGTTGGTTAAATTTGTAGTTGTAGTTAAGATGAAGTTAAAATCCAACACCAATCCAGAATGATTTCTTAAGATTTTATTGTTTACCACCAAATAACACATAGTGGGCTCAGAAGGCAAAGTTTTGGAAATAGGATCATAACTAATGATTAAGAAATCCAAGAAAAGTCATTGAGGACTTTTGTTTTTTATAGGAAAATTTAAATTTTTAATATTAAACTAAATTTGTAAACTGGGTTCAAAATACCATATTTGGTCAGTTTTGATAAATTAGTATTTTTTGACAAATACTTCAAGTTAATTTTTTTTTAAGATGACAAATAAAAAAGTAGTTTATTAGATAAACTTAAATAAAAGAAAATTCAAAAAAATTTAAATAACTTGGGGGTCTAGTTTCTACTGTTCTATCAATAAGAAGTTTAGTATTTAAAAACAAATATTCTGTCAAATTTGGATTCAAAATAATGTTAGTATAATAAAATTATAAGAAAAGAGTACTAATGATTTAAACTTGCAATATATATTTGAAAATAAAAAGTTAAAATAGTAAAAAATGTTAATAACTTTATAATTAATCATAAATAAGGTTTTCAAACATATCATTAAAATATCTCTTTGGTTTTGAAAACATTCGTTCATGAGATCTGCTTGTATGCTCATTTGAACCAAAATCTTGGCATAACTTTGGAGGATTTAAATGGATAATTTGATTTAAAACACAAAGATCCAATCTCTAAAAAACAAACTCATCACATCTGTAAGTTGTTCTAGATGCGATGTCTTATGAGAGAGAATTTTTTAATAGTTTCTAATATCTTTGTTGTTTGCTTCTAGACCTTCCTCCGATAAATTGCAATGACTATAACCATGAAAGATTAACCACACTCTTCATGAAGGACTCCATGAAAAGTGTTGTTAATTTGTGCCCATAGCATATTTGTAATAATGTTAAGTGTAGCATTATTGCATAACTCCTGAAATTTGTCCATTTTAAATTTATGCTGACAAAAAACTATACAAAGTATTATACTGATTTGATAATGTAGTAGTAACATGCTATCATAGGAGAGCATAGATCTTTTATGGTAGAAATTAGTTCTTCAAAACAAAATCTATGGCCTTGTGACCCTGTTGTAGATATCCCTCCCTTCTCACCAGAGTTACTACACATATCTAATTGCAGTCCAGTGTTTTCTTTTATTTTAGAAATAAGCCTGTCTTTTGCATTATGCATTGGTTCACCAAGTAGTCCTGTTTTTGTAACCCAAAGTCTATTTTCTATATGACACCGATAAACTAGTTTTAAAAACCAGGTAGTGCTATTTATATATGAATGTGTAATACATTCATATATAAATAGCACTACCAAGTGATACATTTGTTTATATAATTGATAAAATCCTGTGTCCTCTCTTTTTTCATCTTATCACCTTATCAGTTCTGTAAAAGATTTTTTTTGTTTTAAAAAACATGGTTCTGTTATGTAAGAATTCTCTAGTTCATAAATAATATCTTTTGATGCTTGTGAAGGTTAAAATTTCATATCATTTTTCTTGAAATGTTTCTTTTTCAGGCGTTTATAATGGTTCCATGTTTTTTCACGCACATTTTCAAACTCCAGTGAATTAACTGATAGTTCAAAATTTTTATAAAGTATTTCTTCAATGACTAAATATGTTATTGAATTTGACTTAGCATTTTTGTCAGCTTTAATAAATTGTGTGAATAAATCTATTTCTGTAATCTATTTTACATTTTTATTTTCCTTCATTACATTTTATTTTACTTTACTTCTGTTGAAACAAACACAAAATCATATAAAGTAAACAAATAAAAAATTTAAAATTTGTAACCAAAAATAAAATATTCACATATTTTAAGAAAAAAATAATAATCACTGTTCAATTTTTTCAAATCATGTAAATAAAAAAAAGTGCTTACTTGCCTCAGTTCCCCTTAAAATATTCGAAAAGATGAAATGTTAAATATTTTAAAGGTCTCTATGACACAGTAGAGGCAAGTTAGCACTTTTGAAAAAATCTAAGATTTAATCTGATTTTTTGTAAAAAAACATTAACATAAATGTATAACATAATTACATAATTATGTTTTAAAAGCTTTGAAAAAAATAAATTAATAAAAAAAACACATTTTTAATTTATTTATTCAAAAATATATTTCATATCAAACTAAAAAAAAAAATTTACATAAATGATTTATTAATTTTCATGTCGGTAAATTCATTTTGAATGGAAACGACATTTACAGCAGTAGTGGTGTAGCGGTAGAGTGCTTGCCTCATAACGGGAAGTTCTGAGTTCTGACCCCCCCTCCCTTGTATTACCGCACTCAACTTGTTTCACTGCACAGCGGCCTTGTTTTTGAGGTTATAGTGTTAAGAGAGAGTTGTAACCACAATTAAAGCAGTCTCCTTGACTGTAGTAGTTTTCATGGTTTTAGGGAGGTGAAAAAAAAAAACTACCTCTTACACATCTTATAGTTAAATTAGACTGACGCTTTTAAACAGTAAGTGTGTCCAGTGAATTAGGAAAAATGCTTTATACTGTTACAGAGATGAGCACAAAAAAAATCATTGAAACAGTAACTTAAAGTGAGCAATTTATTGCTTTAAGATCTTTTGCTAAAATAATAATGGAAAGGAAATGATAAGATGTTGCAAAACCCTAAGTATAAATACTCATGCTGATAAACTGGTAGATCTAATTGAGTAACAAGATTCAGTTTAGGAACCACTGCTTACAACATATATCATATGTTAATGTTTATATTAGTCAATAACAACATTTAAAGACAAATAAATTCAAAAATAACAAAAATTATGAAAAATCTTTTTTTTTTATGTCTTTTCCAACTTCTTTTGCACAGCTTGAATGATAACTTGTAGTAAATTGTCATGACTTTCATCACAAAATCTTGCACAAGTTTAGTGAGTTGAAAGTCAACCCTGTCATTTACTACTTCTAGAATCTCCACTTAATGTTGAAAATGTCTGTTGGTATCATTTTATGTGTCATATTTTAAATATTTTATAGAATTTATTTATATTTTTATTATAAAATCTATTAAAAAAGTATAATTATTCAACAAATTTAAATTAAGAACTCTTATTTAAAACATAAAATGTGACTTTTATACAAAAAATGGAATATTATATCTTGGAAGAATTCACATTCAAATATGTTGTTTTTGCAATATTTTATTTTTTTTAGCCACATTAATGCTCGGTTTAAATAATTGCTTTTATGTAAAATTTTATCTGACCCTTTAATTTTATACTTTTCATATATAAGAAATTTCTTAAAATATATAATGGCTAATGATGATGATGGGTTTCCTTGTAAATCTCCAAGGACTAGACATGGCAGAGTTATGTAAGAGTACTGTAAGAGGGAGTAATGAGGAAAGTTCCCTTGTAACTACATGTTACAGAAGTCCTCCTCCAACAAAAAATATTTTTTCTAGGACTAGCAAGTATCATCAACCAGGAACCTCAGTTCAGTTCCACAGAGAACTAATTGGTTTAAAAAACAATTTTCATACTTCAGTATCCTGTACATATATTTCCACCAATTATATCAGTAGTACCATATATTTGGTATTATTTCAAGATTTAAAATAAATAATTAGGAAAGCTTTTACTACATAAAAAATATGATAATAATAGCAACTGTGTTTTGAAACAAATATGTAAAGACTTTTTCTTTTCTTCTGAATTTTGTTTAGATTTCCCACATTGGGAAAAGTTTATTGTCAAATATATTGGCTCAGGTCAAGTAAGAGTAATCAAAATTAAAACTGTCCTGTGTACAAAAAACAATGTCAAGATCTATGCTTTACATTGAATAGGAGTGTAAGAAAAGCAACATGGGAGTGATTTACTGGAGTATGTATTCGAAGAGAACTGTTAAATCTATCGGGCAAAGATGGGTTTAATTCAAGATTTCCGTTTACACAACAAGTAGTGAAGAAAAAGCATGAGAAATCTTATGAACGTATTCAAAGGTGAAATAGTTAAGCTTGACACTAGGAAAGATAAAATGATAAAAAGAAAAATCTTTTTATTAAAGAATCATAATCAGCAAAAATGAAATGATAGAATAAGTAGCGTAGAGAAGAAAAAATATTAGTTATCTTGGCCAATATAGCCCACAAGTTGCCGTAATGCATTAATCTAAATTATTTTATTATGCGACCAAATTCATTATCATATTGATGCAATTTTGGCGCAAAATGTTGTTAGATTTTTAATATTTTGTCAATATTAAAGTCACATATAACTGCAATAATTAAACATTAAAA